CTTCATAGTACTCTAGCGTATTCAATACAATTTGCATATTGTCTCTGATCTGTCTCTTAGGGAGGAATCCATTTTGGTCTATGTGTTTCTGGCATCCTTGCCTCCCTTAGTAACTCATTAAATAGTTCCAACATTACATTACTTAATACTTCTTGTAATGTTTTGTACAGCTCTGCTGGTCCATCTGGTCCTGGTGTTTTCCCCTTCTTTTGACTTTTGATGCCCTCTGTTACCTCCATCATTGTTCCCGCTTGCCTTCTGATGTCGGCGTCCAGCTTGGCCTGGCCAGTCATTCCGCCTGCAATCAAGCTAGAGTGGGGAGAGGGAGCACAAACAAACACTGAGGAGACCACAGGAGGAGGGACGCATGCTGTAGTACACGCTCTCCTTCTTTCTGAGGGCTCTGCAGGAGGTCAGTGGGTGGGTTTTATTGTGTTCCAGGCAGGGGTGAAATACCTGAACCGGGTTTCCTGAACCAGCTGGGAAAAAAGGCTTGAGGCGTGCAATCCACAAAAGCTGGTTGTTGTTGTTTTTTTTACTTTTTAAAGCCTTTTTTATGTGCTGGTTTGCCTGAAAGAAAGAGAGGGAGGGAAGGGAGAAAGAAAGAGAAAGAAAAAGAAAAAGAAAAAGAAAAAGAAAGAAAGAAAGAAAGAAAAAGAAAGNCCTTGTTTGGGAGGTCCGCCTTCAAAGCTGCCATCCTGGGCCGCGGAAGTTGGAGGGTGCGTCCTACGCCAACCAAGGAGAGACAGCTGAAATTCCTTTCCTACAGGCCTAAGAAGCGGCTGCTACAAGAACTAACCCACAAGGGCATCCAGCCTGTGCTCACATTGGGTTGAACCCAGAGCCCAGGGCAAACTGCATTCTTCACCCATTTTTTCCCCTTGAAGCAGCCTCTCGGGGAGACATGGTGGTTACTTTAGCTTCCCCTCCAGCACCCACCCTCCCAGCCCAGGACAGGCTGTCTCTGCATGGCAGTGAAGCACCAGTGTAAGGCGCGCAAGATGGCAGATTCAGGGTGATCAACCCGTCCAGGCACCTTGCCTCTCAGTGTGCCAGATGAGGCGACAAGCACGTGGGGACCAACGGGATCCAGTTGCAGCCCTCTGGTCGCTTGATCAGGGCACTCTGGGGCTGTGCAGCCCACTCAGCCCAGGTGAATCGATTCCCTGTCCAAGCAGAAGATGGGGGCAGAAGCGTGGGGGGAGGGACAGGGGGTCCGGACATGTACAGGCCGCAGGAAAGCTGAGTCAGTGGGCCGAGGGGGGCAGCCGCAGGAGGCTTGTTTTAGCGCAGTGATACCGGCAGCAGACGGAGGCAGAGGCGCAGGGCGGAAGGTAGGCAATCTCCAACGCAGTGTCGGCCACAGGCAAACTGGGCGGCACAAAGACAAGCCTCCCATGGCTGCTCACCCACTGCGGCACACTGACTTGGCTTTCCCGCCTGTGAGGCATGTCCGTATTGCCTCCCTACACACACATACACACACACACACACACTAATGGCTGTAGTAATGACGAACCTTTTTGGCACCGAGTGCTGAAAGGGGATCATTTCGCTTGTGCACATGAGCTTCGTGAGAAGAAGAGGAGCTGCCCAGGGGCCATGTGTGTGCCGGGAAATGACCTTCTGTTTTCCCAGCAAATCAGAGGTGGGTTCCTACCAGTTTGCACCTATTCGGTAGAACCGGTTCGTCAAATCTACTCGACCGGTTAGAAGAGGTTCCACCAGTGGATCCGGAAAGCAGGCCACACCTACAGAAGAGGTTCCAAAAGTCTTTGAAGCCCACCACTGCAGCAAATCTTCCGGTTACTGCCATGCAGGCGCATGCACCGATCAGCCGGATAGTGTTTATCCTCACCCCGGAAAATGGACGAGCAGCCCTTCCAGTTTACGTCACTGCCGCGTGCACAAAGGCCGGCCGATCGTTGCGTGCGCATGCGTGCCCAAAACCCAGAAGAGGAATGGGCAACGCCACGTGTGCCAGGTGACATGGCTCCATGTGCCGCTTTGGCCATGCC